CACCTGGCCAGGAACTTGTAATAATTAAAAAGAAAATTAAACCTCAGGATAAGATTGTTTAAAACTTGTGTTAATTAATTTGCTAAATAATGCAAATCATCAGCTTGGGGGAAAATGCAATTAAGATCTTTCTAGATTAAAGAATTTTCACTTTATCATTTCAAATGATGTTATCATAAAGATTTTCCCAATAACAGGAGTTAAGTGTTCTATCAAATTAATATTATGTGGTCCAATTTTTAGATTTTCTTTTGTCTCTAATTAATAGTCTGTAGTACAGAACAAATAGTTTTTTTTATTTCTTTGTAGTAAATTTAACTGCATGTTTAGTAAACCAGGGGTTTGTTTGATTTTTCAAAAAAGTATTGCTCCTTAGAATTCTCAGATATATCACTATAACAAATTTGTAAAAACTAGCAATTCAACAACCTATTGGGTATATTTTACTTAATTAACTTAAAAGATTTTTATATTATATGCTGAGAGAATATTCTGGTATACTCCTAGCTTTTCCTATTAACTTATGTTTGCTTATTTAATGGTAACTTCTGTAATCTTAGATTTGACTATAGTGTTGAAAATCAAAAGAAAAGATTAAGTATGAAAGTAAGTCATTCTAAACTTATAGAAGATGCATAAATAACAATCCTAAAGTTAATGAAAGAGATTCTTACCAACATTATTGGTTTGGAGACTACCTGGTAGATTTGAATTTCTAGAGGAGTTTTGTGGTGCTAAAATATATTTGGCATAAAAGAAAAAAATTTAAAGTGATTTTCAAACAAGGTCCCAGTGGGGTAGAGGTTAGCCATAAAAGAAGCCAAACTTAATGAAAGTTGCTCAAGATTAAAGTTAAAAAGGAAATCTTGAGTCAAGAACTAACTTCCTCCTAATGTTCTCACTGCGACAGTTTACTGACTCGCTTGTTATTCAGTTCAAATAAGTCACTTACACTTTTTGTGACTTGGATTCCTAGATTATGAAATGACGCTGATTCAGTGTTCCTATTCAATGGTCTCACTGGAAATTAAAAGGAAAAAAAACCTCTTTATTACAAATAAGTAGATTGTCACCCTTAAGCTATCCCTAAAAGATGTACAATGGATTCAGTAAATTTGAAGCATTTTGATCACTGTGCTACCCATGGAAGACTAGTTTTCTCTCTATATGGTAGTGTAGTTCTCTACCAAATAAGATGGAAGCAGGATTCATTTGGGGTTCTTCCTTCTCCCAAGACCTCACCGTCTTACACCGTCCTTTCTCAATAAGCCAAGCGAGACCAGAGACCAGGCGGTTGGCACTTGACTGCTCAAAGGTTGCCCAGTGCTATGCTAGAGTAGTGAGAAACTCAGTCTGAAGAGATGAAACATCACTTTGTTCATACGGGAAATAACAGTGCCTTGGAAATGTTCAGGTCTTGGTAATTAACAGGGCTTGTGGAGCTTTGTGTGCGGGCCAATGTTCTAGCAACAGAGCAACAAATGGAGGTGTGAGAATTTCTTTCATATCCAAAGTGTTTTAAATGGGGCAATAACAGAAAGCAAGGCTTTTCTTCCCAAGAAAGGAGCAGCAGTAGAGCTTAGAGCCTTTTTATATGTGTTTAAGATACAGTCACATGTTTCATGTTTAAGAATGGCTTCTCATGTTAAATGAGTTAGTTCCCCATATACCTTCTCCTTGAGGCAGGGGCCAGATGGATTATGTCCCAGTTTACAATGACCGATGGAGAATTACTACACTCCTTTATTGCTAAAAATGTCTCGGTGACTCAGTACTTTAGGGCTTATGCATAGATAATGTGATAAAATACTGGCATATGGTAGATGAAAGGGTTTGGTTCTCTTTGAGTTCTGATTTTCAGATTTTCCAATTGGTTACTTTCCCATTATTTGAAATCCTGAACCTAATCCACTTTTTAAAAGTATCTGTCTCTATAGTCTTCTTTTAAAAAGCAAAAAAGAAAAAGGAAAAAAAAAAAGAAAAAAGATTTGGGAACTCCCCTGTTTCATTTAATTGGCTAAATTTTAAGTTTTCACTATCTATTTGTAATGCAGTTTTCTGGTCATGGATAAAAAAAGTATACAGTTTGTGTTCATTGTTTTAGCAGTGAATAAGCAGCTTAGGGAGGAAAGGATAGTAACAGGATATTAATAAATAGCAAATAAATTATATAGGTGGGGCTGTTATAGTTGTTAAAGATCTGGTAAGAGGAACAAGAGAACACTTCTAGCTGGGAGCATCGGAGTAGACTTTGGAAAAGAAAATGGAACTCCTGTAAGCCTTGCAGAATGAGAGAGCTGTAAGTAGCAGTGGAGAAAGGGACATTTCATTGGCGGAGTGTCACAGAGGCAGGGTCTGGTGGGGCATATTCAAGGGGTAATGAGTAAACTATAGCCCAGTGTTTAAGAGCACAGACTCCAGAGCCAGGCAGCCCAAGTTCAGGGCTGCCTTTTACTTGCTACGTGACCTTAGGTGGATTTTTTAACCTCTCTTTGACTCAGATTCCTCGTAAAGTAAAAAAAAAAATGGTACTAATCATACCCAAATCATACAGCTGTTGTAAGGCTTTAAGAAGAGTGCCTTCAAATATTGCACAAATTAAATATTAAGTATAATTTAACGTGATGATGGTGGCAGGGATGTATAGGGAAGCGTAAAGGACAAGGTTGTAAATAAGACTGGAGTGGACTCACTGAGGGACTGGACTGTCAGGACGGCATATAGTTTGTAGTGAGCAGTTACAGAAGCTTTATAAGCAGGAACATATGTTCAGTGTAATGTTTTTGGAAAAACAATCTAGCAGAATAGGTTGAAGAAGAGAGTGACAGAAAAGAGAGTGATTGGGACAATAGACGGTGGGTTTGGATTAGAAAGGAGGGACAGACCTGAGACACATTTACGATGAACAGTTTTTAAGGTCTGGGGTCTAACTCTCAGGGACAAATATAGGAGGCAGAGAGCGGTGTCTGCACAAGTAGGAGAATTCAGACATACAGGAGTTCTTAGGAAGACCTGGTGATGTGTGCAAGAAGAGGAAATCCATTTTACGTGTTGTGAATGTAAAGACAGTAACTGGAATTAGCATTGAAAATGGCCATCTGGTGCTCTAAGAGAAATCAGGTCTGGATGTAGAAAGAGAAGACCCACAGAGGTAAGAGGTGGGCTGTGTGAGCCAATGAGGTACCAAGGAAGAGAGTATACCAAGTGAATATCACAGTAATTCTCTTTTCCATTCCTATAAGAGAAAGTGAGAGTTTAAGAGAATGGAAACAGGTTCCTAGTCCAGGTGACTGTTTTGAAACTTGGGCAGTAGTAGAGCTGCCTGGCCTGTAAGTGCTGTTTCCTAGAGCAAGTGCCAGGCGGAACACTGTACATGTGCAAAGTGTCCGTGAACACTGGGTTTCTGGATCTGTATCTGGCACATTATTGCAAACAAGCTTTGTTCTAGTGAGGGAGAATTATCATTTCAATTATTCCAATTAATCCTACCCAGTTCCAACCATATGTTAATATGGGTTCTGTCAGTGTCTGTGTATTTATGTGTCTATATACATATATCTATCTATATGGAAATACACTCTGTTGATCTGTATTTTGTATGCTTTTCTTAAAAGTTATTCCTTTGAAACCATTTTCATGTGCACCTTTTATCTTCCATTCAATTTTAATTGCCTGTGGGTAAGGAATAGACCTTCTATTCGTTTCAGTCCCTCACAGTTTTCTCATTCATTCACTTATATATTGCTTCCAGTTTATTCATTCAATTCATGCATTCATTCCAGACACTTTATTAAGTTGCTCGGGTGGTAAGACATAGTTTCTGCTTTAGGGGAGACTATTATCTGTTAAATAGTTGGGGGAATAAAAGACATAGAAATATGTTGTAGGAGCAATAATAAAGATGTTCACAGAAAATTATGATGACATAGAAGAGAAGCATTTAATCCAGATTATAAGGAGGGGCCAAGAAGGGAGAGGTAGGAGGATTTTTGGAGCAGTTGACTTTTGGGCTGAAACTTAAGCAATAAAGTAGTTGTTTCTAGGTCAATAGGAAGAAGGGTAGAAAATGGCATTACTGACAGTGAAAACAGCCTGAGCATGGACAGACCCATTCACAAGAAGAAGTGACACGATGCGGTGCTGCTGTAGCACAAAGTGAAAGACAGAGTTGTGAGAGGCAAGGTTGAGTGACAGGCCAGCACCCCTGGAGGGACCTGTGAGCCACGTGGAAGCAGGGACCACATTCAGTGATCAGAACAAGGACCAGGACCTGGAAATGCTTGACACAGAGTTTTATTGGGTCAGATTTCAGTCTTAGGTGGCAGTTGGGAGGATGAATTTAAGGAAGATGAGGCATTTTTGTGGCTGGTCCATGTGGGAGACATTTGGGACCTAAACCAGGACAGTATTATAGGAACGGAGAAGAGGGGGCAAAATCAAGCACTATTTGTGATACCAGATCAGCAGGACCTGTTACTTTGAAGATAAGCGAGAGGAAGGAACAGGGGTGTTTCTTAGGTAGCTACCTTGTACGCTGGGGCAACGGATTGCATGGTCTACTTAGAGAACACAGGAAGAGAGACAATATAGTGAGTTCATTTTTGTTATCTCCAACACGTGGAGATTTTAAATGTGTCTATGATATATTTGGAATAAATCTCATTAATGGTTAGCAGAGACGTCTGGATAACTGGAAATGCATCACCTTCGATATTCAGCTTAACCATATCTCTCTTGGAAGCAGGAGTAACTCTGCTTTTCCTACAATACCCTGTGCATACATCTGTCATAACTCTTCCGCTGTGTTGGAATCCTTGACTGACTTTCCTATTCAGATGTGTGGCCTGCAGCCCAGTATTTAGTTCATAACCTCACCATAAATGTGAGTGAGTGAATAAGCAAGTGAATAGATCCTTTAAAAAATGATTGTTATTTGCTTATTAGGAAAGGTTTATAGGTGGCTTATTCTTGTTCTAACGCTTCTGTGTTTTAACTCCTAGCACCTTCCACTGGAAGAATCTCGAACAGTGCTACTTCCTCAGGAGCAGTGGCACCAGCCAACTCAGCTCTGGGGCAATCCCAGCCAAGCGACCAGGACACTTTAGTGCAAAGGGCCGAGCACATCCCAGCAGGGAAACGAACTCCCATGTGTGCCCATTGTAATCAGGTCATCAGGTTGGTTATTTGTTTTTTTTGAAATTTTCTTGAAAGTACTTAATACCAATGTTGATTTTTTTTTTTTTTAGTATTCTGAAATATTTGAAATTTTATTAGTGAAAATATCCTTGCCATAATCCCATATAATAGGTATTACTGAGTAGATTAATATGAATTTATATGTGTTAAAATCTATTTTAATGACAAGTCATGCTGGGCTTTGCGAAAATAAAACTAAAAATGCTAATTGTGTCCATTGTTAATTCCTATCAGAACTAAGGAAAAATAGTGATTGATGTGGTGGCCTTTCAGAGAATAATAAATTTTAAGACTCAAAGGAGCCCCGAAGATCATTTATCCCAATTTTGTTATTTTACAAATTATAGAAGTGAGAGCTTTGATTTAGATGAAAAATAACTAGTAACATGAAGTAAAGAACTTTGAGCCCTAGAGAAAAGAGGATTGGATTTTTGAATACATAAGCTCCAAGAGGTAATTACCTGCAGATCTATTCATAAATGCTTTGAGTGTTAGATTGGGCAATAACTTGCTTCTTTAAAATGTTTTTTGTCCAAATCTATTTGATTATCTCTTAAATTCCAAGAAGGAAAAAAGTCTCAGAGATCTTAAGAATATACTATTCTAGAATGTATTAAATCTCTGAGTGTTTCTTAATAAGTGGCTTTTAAAATGTTATGAGGTGTAGGTATGAATGCTAATTGCAGGGATCCCACCAAAGGGACCTGGTTGCCTCTTTGCGAGTTGCCTGTTGACAGTAACAAATGATTGTTTGAAATGATTTCTCAAGCTCTCTTTTTTCTTAATTTATCCTATTTTTGAAATGGTTGAAACAATGGCTTCTCTAAAGTTGAATATGGTTAAGACTTAATTGAATTTTCCCCTCTATTCTATAATAATTGCTTAGCATAATATTTCCAGGTAATATTTTGAATGGAGCCAGGAAACCTCAATACTTCATTTAAGAACCAAATATAAATACTCCTCTTTAACCTGCTATTAATTAAATAATGTAGTGTCAAGAATAAAAGTTAAAAGTTCACTAACTTTTTTATTTTAAAGATAGTCAATGTTCATTGTGACATTCAAAAAAACATAAAAAACAGAAAGCAAAAACAAAGTTCATACAATTATTCCACCTCCCAAAATAAATGTTATTTTCATTCAGACTTTTAAAACACTCACACGTAAGGACAGATATCATTTTACAGAAATGGAATAATAATATGGTGTTTTGTAAGCTATTTTTTTCACTTAAATTGTAGTTTTCATAGTGAGTGCCTACCCGCTTAGTAAGAATTAGTAGCAGCGGCAGTAGTAATAGTGATTATGCGGAGAAAGGGAAAAGCAGTAGAGATTTCCAAAGTCTAGCATAATATTCAGCACGCAGAAGGCATTCAGTAAATGTTTAACTGAATAGGTCATGCATGAGTCTAGACCCATTCATCATTCAAGCCATAACGTCAATGTGGCTAGAGTCATTTTCCTAAAAGTACTAGTATGGGGTTACTGTCTTACAGAAATATTTAAACTAATATAAAGTTGGTGCTGCTTTATCCCAATAAATAAAATAATGTTTTGATTATTACGTGCATTTAGTTGTTATATTTTTAAAATTGATAAAATAAAAATAAACCGACTTGTAACTTTGCTTCTATAAGTTATAGTATTTGGGTTACCTAGACTGATGTTTATGGATACTATAATATATTCTGAATGAAAACACCATTTATGCAGACAGGAGTCACTGCTGTTACTTGTGTGCTATTGTAAGCAAGTGAGTTAACAAAATGTCAAAACACGTAAGTTGCAGATTCATGTTGTCTGATTATAAAATTCAGCGATATTCTGTAATATCACCACTACTAGCACTTCTGAAAAACTTAGTGTGGAGAAAATATGAAGATCAAAGTGAAAATTACATTCACCACCCTTAACTGCCATGGTTTCAAATTTAATGCTAGGCCAGGATGCAATTTTAATGCACCATCATCCTGCCATATAAAATAAATCTATATTATGCTAATAACATGAATGGCTATCACTTATTGCTCCCTCATCTCTTAAATTCTATATTGGTCTGGATTATCCACTATTTGTTATCAGTTAGCATTAAAGCTTCATTTACTAAGGAAGTTAATAGGAATAGGGATTAGTCCACGTCAAGATCATATAACAGTAATTAACATAGCACATTTGCCTGGTGCTCAAGTGCTAAAGCAGCTTGAATAGATTGTGGTCAGTTCAGAGGCCTAGTCAAAGCATAATTCTAGTTCCTGGCCTCAGTGTCAGTATTACTTACCAAAGCAAAGAGGTGTTGGATCAAGTGACATTCTTTTGGACACCTGTTGTAAAAACAACCTGCAGTTGCAGGCTCCATTCTTTCAATACAGAATATTATACCTTGGCAAACTCTTGAGAAGTTTAAGATTTATTTTGTAATTTATATTGTTAGTTTCCTACCATATAATTTATATTGTTTGTTTATAATTCATAGTTTGGTTTTATATTTACCTTTTCAGTATTTTAAATTTTCAAAAATATTTTTTTTTATCTAAGGACAAACCAAAGCAAATTTTGTTTTTTATTTTATTGGCTTTTTGGTATTTTGTTTTGTTTTAGCAGAGTTGATTGTTTTTGGAAAACTTCAGAAGCCTGAATGTTAATATTCAGATGGTTATCTCTTTATAATACACATTAAATTTAAATTTCCATAGTTATTTTTATTTGGATCTAATGTTTAAAATTTTTTGGCTTAATTGAATCATGTAAAGTTTATGGATATTTTGCCTAAATTGTATTATGGAGCCATTACTTTAGTTACAAATGAATAGGTAGTTATATCTTAGGAAATTCTACTGAAGCTTTACATTTGCTATGGAACATTTTTAGTACAGTTATTAATATGATAGAAGTACCATTTCTTCAACTCTTATACTCATGGATAGATTGATTGTTGGAGTGGTAATATAATAGGGAAAATTAGGCAGTTGTAGCCAAAACCAGATTTTAGTTACCTGGTAAAATGGGCTTATAAACGAACATCTTTAATTACCTGGTAGAATGTCTTATAAACGAACATCTTAGCTTCTTTCTTTTTCTGAGAGAGAGGTTCTCACTCTCTTGCCCAGGGGGGAGCGCAGTGGTATGATCAGAGCTCACTGCAGCCTCCAGCTCTTGAGCTCAAGCAATCCTCATGCCTCAGCCTCCCAAGTAGCTGGGTACAGGCATGCGCCACCATGCCCGGCTCATTTTTTTTTTTTTTTTGGTAGAGACTGGGCCTTGCTTCAATGCCCACGGTGGTCTTGAACTCCTGGCTTTAAGTGATCCTCCTGCCCTGGCCTCCCAAAGTGCTGGGATTACAAGCGTGAGCCACCACATCTGGCCCCTGGCTCCTAGCTTGAGCCCAGCTCACCTTCACCTCTGTCAAGACTTTACTGCAGTGTCACAGTGTTGTCCCTGCCACCTGCTTAAATTCTCTTGCTTCCTCTCTACCCCCGACATCAACAGTCTCCCCCTCCCCTCCAGGCTTTATTTTTTTCCTCAGCCCTTAATATCTAACATTCCATATATTTTATTTGTTTATCTTACTTGTTGTCTCCCCCACATTAGCTGTAAGTTGCATGCGAGCAGAGCTTTTCTCAGCTTTGTTCCCGGCCACGTTTCCTATTCCTAGAACAGTGCGTGGCACATACTGAATTTAGTAAGTTTTTGTTCAGTTGGTGAATGAAGTTTTTGAAAATATTTGTAGGATATATATAAGAGTTGCCAAGTTGAAATTATATCCCACTTACTTATTACAGAATCACATCTCTCCGACTTTGCTGATTTTCTAATCTCAATATAAAGAACTGACTATAGACTTTTTAAAGATGTCAGTTAACACTACCTTCTTTAAAACTAGTTCTCTTTATTCACTATTATGTTTAAACTCAATTTTACCTGTGCATTTATTTTTGAGGAGCCAGTCATTTCTGCCTTAAAGATATAAAACCGTAGTTGGCCTCACAACCTTTTAAATGCAGTATGTTAAAGGGTTACAGGTTAAAGATGATACTCAATGAAAGTAGAATTATATTTTTTAATGTATCAATGGAAAGTTTGGGCATAATCTACTATAAGTGAAGAATTAAGAGTAGAAAATAGCGTTTCCAAATTTAGGAAGGATTGTTAAATAATTCCAATCTGGTGTCTCTTTCTTTGTGCATGTGTCTTTGTGAATGTGCGTATGTACAAACTCTCCCAATTATCTATTTTATTTCACTCTGTTACTCTGGTTTTATTACTCTGTTACTCTGTTACTCTGGCTCTTTGCTCATGTCAGGCCATTCCTAGAAGTTGGGTAATATAAAAATATATAAAACTGGGCTGGGCAACCTGCTCATGTCTATAATCCTAGCTCTTTGGGAGGCCAAGGCAGGAAAGATAGCTTGAGGCCAGGAGGTCAAGACCAGCCTGAGCAAGAGTGAGACCCTGTCTCTACAAAAAATAGAAAAATTAGCTGGTCGTGGTGGCATGTGCCTGTAGTCCCAGTTAGTCAGGAGGCTGAGGCAGAGGAGGATCGTTTGAGCCTAGGAGTTTGAGGTTGAAGTGAGCTATGATGACGCCACTGCACTTTAGCCTGGGTGATACAGTGAGACCCTGTCTGTAAATAAATAAATAGATAGATAATATTATTATATCTAATTAAGTATAATATCAGATTCCATTTTTATTCTTGAGCACATGAGTCGTTTGTTATGGCTTCGAAGGCTTTTGTCTTTAACTTGATGTAGTAAGTTTTGGTCAAATAAAGATTTTGATCTGTAATGATTGGACTCTGGAAGATTCGTGCTTTACAATTCATCATCCACAGGGTCTTTGGAAAGTTGGCTAACCTCTCTGATGCTTCCTTCATCTACGAGTATATGATAGAGTTCTGTCACTGAGGTGGTTGTGAAAATTAGATAACTAAGGGAAGCAAGAAGTAAGCGTTTAATTTTGAAGCTAAATTCCTGTTAGGTTGTGCCTGTTGACATCTGCAGTTGCTTTTACCTTTTATATTTGTGAGCTTTTCTTTTTCTCTGAGTTCTTCTTTGGCATTCTTCCCTACTTTTCCTTCCATTTCCCCCACCCCCCCCCTTTTTTGGCATAAGTCTCACAGAAGACAAACAGTATCAAAAGTTTCATGCCAGATCTCTTCTCTCTCAGCCAATCGAAGGCTTTCACTCGCCCCCACCCCACTCGTCAGTCAGCGTGTATTCAGTGAGGGCTCATGGGGCAGGGAGGACTAGGCGAGGTGGCTGAATACCTGATTCCACTTCGCAGCCATCCAAGCCTGTCATTCCGGTTCACAAAGGGAAACCCAATCCTAGCTGGAACAAGAACTTCTGCACTGTTAATCCTGTGTTAATGAATCTGTTAAATTAGTCTTTGCTGACACAGAGAAGAGAAGACTTTGTTTTATGTAAGGAATTTTATTGTTTAATCTATACATAATTCTAAGGGCATCGATAGGGAAAGATGCTATTTCAGTACAGTGAAGGAGTATCAGGTTAGGCCAGTATTTGCCCTGAGTGTGCTTACTTAACGAAGGAGATCTGGTAGGAGCAGGGGTCATTTTCAACTTGTTTTTTTAAAGGTACAGAAGGAATTTCTTGACTGTTCTAATTTCCTTTTCCTATTCATATTTTAAAAGAAGTGATGAAATATTTTAGTTACTCTCAATGGACTATAATTTTAATTAATTTATGTATGGTAAACTTTACATCAGAAAGTTTTTCAAGAGACTTTTAAGCATACCAAAATATAAGATAATCTTCTAAATTACCAAAGATGGAAAAAAGAATGAAATTCATGGATGGGACCATTAAAAATGAAGCTAGCATCAAGACTGGACAATACCTACAGTAATGACCTGCATGCTTGCCTAAAGTTAGACTATGAATTTGACTTTGGTAGCACTGATATCTGGTAGCACTGATAGACATGTTCTATGAGCAATGCACACACCAACACACTTTCACAGGATGTAGAGCTTGAGGTTGGATTGACTTCCTTTGAAAATTGGGGAACCCAATAAGGATATTGGCCTCAAGGGTCCATCCAGCCTTATGGATAAGCTGATGATGTGCCCAAATAAAAAATTCACCCTAGTAAATTGTGGTTAATCTGTTTTAATATCCAGACAAATAGCAGCATAGAATTCCAAAGTTCTACCATAGCCTATGTTAGTTAGGGCCATAGTAAGTTTCACACATATATAACCAGATAACTACCGAGTGGAAAAGCTCAGAACACTCGGAAAACATTGTCTAGCTTTAAGTAGTGTGACTCCTGGTTTACCTTTGAAGATAAACTACTTGCCAAATATATACTGAGAGAATTAAATGAAGGAACTTGTTGGAGTAGGATTGTTATTTTATAAATCAGTTATAAATTGAGGGACAATCTACCAAAAGTAATATATTTGATTGAAGAATAGGTGATCTGTAGCTGCTTTTTCTCTGGCAGGAATTGGTTACCAAAGGCATTTCTTGCTAGTTATAACAAAACTAGCACTGATGCTACCCTAGAGTTTTAAAAAAAATAATAAACTAATAAACTGTGCATCTCAAACTTAAGAGAGCTGTATATACTTGCTTGCAGAAAATGGCATCATATTAATAAGAAACAAGTTAACAAAAAAGTAGGGCTAGAAAATAACCTCATACCCCACATGAGAAATTTTAGTCACTCATCAAGAGCCTTTCTCCTTTCCTACTCTTGCAGAGTTGGGTGCTGGTTCTAAGTAAACATCAATATGTTTGCAAAGAATTTACCAGTGGGAGATAGTTATTGAATAGCAAAGTTTATGTTATTGTCAAAGGTTAAATAATGCTGTGACTTGGTGATACTCAGTGCTGTGACTTTTCCTATTAGTAATCTGCTTAGAAGTCCGGTGTCTGCTGCTTACTAACAATTACCATGTGGTCAGTCGGTGATGATAAAATCGATGGTAATGAGGTCAAAGGCAGAACGTCAGTTGAACAGAGCAATATACTAGAAATCAGAAAATTCAGCTTCTGGCCTTGCCTCGGTGATTTTATATTTGTTATTATCTTTTTGAACATTCTGTATCACAGCTTCTCCATCTGTGAAACTGAATTCGTAATAACTGCCCTGGTCTGTCTCACAGGAATGTTGTTGGACAAATTAGATAAGTGTAAAAGTGCCTTGGAGGAAAAGCCACTCTGTGAATAAGAATTAGTGTGATGTAGCTCCTGAAAAGTATGTTGCAGAGGCCAGAATGGTTAGTCTCTGTGGGCTTCCTGACCAGATAAGGCTTCGTAATGGATTCCTGCCAAGCAAACCCAGCCCATCTTATCAGTTCATGACTGTGTAATATTTGGTGGAAAGAAAACTCTCTTTACAAACATTTGTTACCTTGATACAAATGTGCATTAAAAAGCTGTCATGTTTAGGGAGGGGAAGGGGGACACATTGTAAAAAAAAAATGGGTATAAAATTTCAATTATGCAAGATGAATAAGTTCTAGAGATCTGTTGTATAACATTGTGTCTGTAGTTAACAATACTGTATTGTGCACTTAGAAATCTGTTAAGATCTCATTTTACGTGTTCTTACCACAATAAAATAAATTTTAAAAAAATAGGCCAAATTTGAATGAAATAAAACCTTTCCAAGTAGTTTTTAAACAATCGTTATATAATACCCAGTTTATGGTTTGTGTAGTCATTTTAGAGGGTGAGGATTTGATGTGTTTAATAAAGTTGAGAAATATGTATGTAAAACAATGGGGAAAAGAAATTGACTAGAGTATTTTCTCAGGTAATAATTATTACTATTTTTAAGATTTTGACTTATCAAATTGAGGATTTTGTTTTGTTTTATAGAAATGTCCAAATCTCATCTCTGCCTATGCCACATATTTTTCCTAGTTGCTTCATGTTCTGTCACAGCGACTTTCTGTCCCAGTCGACATCCCCATCCTCAATCCTAATCGTGATGCAGACAGATTGACTCATTGCCACTCCATGAAACATACCCTGAAGACGGAAAAAGGTGGAGCGGGAGCCTTTCTTGAAGGGATCCCTTATGTGCTTACTCCTGTCCCTTTTTCTTTTCACATAAATGCAGAGTCCCTGTGTGAATTCACAGGGCCCACACATTCAGTCCTTGCAAAGGAAAACTGAGCAAGTATTGAATCGATCGGACGTTGCATGAAAGCGGTCCCATCCAGGCTAACTGTAGAAACTTTTGGTCTGGAGCTAAGTTGATATCTTTTTCTTCTGGCAGGGGACCGTTCTTGGTGGCACTGGGGAAATCTTGGCACCCAGAAGAATTTAACTGTGCTCACTGCAAAAATACAATGGCCTACATTGGATTTGTAGAAGAGAAGGGGGCCCTGTACTGCGAGCTGTGCTATGAGAAATTCTTTGCTCCTGAATGTGGTCGATGCCAAAGGAAGATCCTTGGAGTGAGTATTGGAAATGTTTTCATTCTTAGTGAGTTTTAAAGCAGAATGATCTTTTGTTATGAAACTCTTCGGTCGTTTTAACTTTTTATTTTCTTTCTTGCTTTGTTCCCTCTCCGTTTTCATCACTATTTATTATTGTAAAGCAAAACTAAATAGACCTCTGTAGAAGGAGATCGGACTCATGGGGTCAGGTTGTCTTTGGTTTTGTCTCCCTGCGTGCCGGCCCGTCTGGCGAGAGTCTAGCCACCGTGGGGGAAAACTAATTTGCTGTGGCCGTGCGACTTCAACAGGCCCCTGTCTGCGCAGGAACGAAGAGGTCGCACAGGAGGACCACACACATCCGAGTTCTCAGAACTGACACCTTCACTGTTTTAAATTAAATTCCATCGCTTTTATAAGAGCAGCATTTCCCCACTTGTCAGGGTTCAAGTACAGGACACCGATTTCATGAAATATATAAAACCTGAGGCTTATAAATGATCTATTTTTCTTGAATGCATATAATGTTTAAAAATATAACCTCAGTTTTACGAGAGCACAAGGTGATGGAAAAAGGATTTCATACCATACCTTTTCTTTCTTTTTCTTTTTTTTTCTAAAGGGAGTAATTTAGGCATTAGACGGTACATAACAAATAATGATGAATACACAAATTTCCTGCTCCAGAGTACCTAGTTTGCAATTATCAAGTAAGGATCAGGCATTTCTTATGGGTGACCAGGAGCTGGAATTTGATCTTAGAAGAAGCCAAGGTGCCTGGCCTCATATAAAAGTTGGAAATGGCCCTGCTGAATTCTAATGCTCTCGATATGAAAATATAGTAATGAAGCCATAATTCATATTAATTGAGAGAAAAGTTAGTGTGAATTATTAAGTAGTCTTAATTTTAGGGCATACCTTTAAATGGGTCTAAAACTTTGAGGACACTTAAAATTATTAACATACCACCTGAAATATAATATTTCTGTGTTATTAGTTTGTATAATATGTTGGGGACAAAGAAACAGAATGATTCAGCCTGTACCTTCCCAAATGATGACAAATAATTGGTAGATAACTGCTAATACTGTTTTAGTGTATAAACATGTTCTTTGGATTCTAGAATAATAAAACAGGCCAGCACAGTGGTTCACACCTATAATCCTAGCACTCAGAGAGGCCGAGGTGGGCGGATTGTTTGAGCTCAGGAGTTTGAAACCAGCCTGAGCAAGAGCGGGACCCCGTCTCTCCTAAAAATAGAAAGAAATTAATTGGCCAACTAAAAATATATAGAAAAAATTAGCCGGGCATGGTGGTGCATGCCTGTAGTCCCAGATACTCAGGGGAGGCTGAGGCAGAAGGATCGTTGAGCCCAGGAGTTTGAGGTTGCTGTGAGCTAGGCTGATGCCACGGCACTCTAATCCGGGCAACAGAGTGAGACTCTGTAGAAAAAAAAAAATAGAATAATAAAACAAAGTCCAATAAGAGTCTTAGAACTAAATAAAGTTCCAGGAAATGGAAATCATATTTATTGCTTCAGAGATAGGCCAGAACTTCACCAAAGAGATAGCTCCTCTGGATTGTGTTTTAGTCGTTTGATTACCCATTAAAGAAGAAATACTAATCTGCCTCAAGGATGGAAAAGGAAGTATATTCTGGAAGCCCTGGGAAATGATTTGGTTCAGTGTACATTTGGTACTAATGTTACTGGTGATGTTGTTGGGTCTATACTTCTGCCATTTCTTCCCTTTGTCCTTCAGTAGTGAACTATGGCATTTTCTATGGCTGATGATTTATTCTGTCATTTTATTTTATCTTAATATTTTTATAAAAGAAAATATTTCACTCTAGAACAATTAGGAATTACAAAAAATGTAAAAAATGAATTTAAATGACCTATTTACCACAGATAATTACTGATAACCTTATGATGTATTTTTTCCAGATTGCTTTTTATAAGTAATGCATTTATAAAATTGTAACCATGCTGTATGTATGACATCCTCTTTTTTGTGATAAATGTTAAGGAAAACAAATTCCTATGTTATTAACTATTTATCAAAAATGATTTTTAATGACTCCATCTTTTTCTTTCAATTCAAAGAAATGATTCTTTGTAAAACCAACTCCCCAAAACCTCTTTTACTAATTAACATCTGGGCCAAGTCTTCAATAATTGGTATAACCACGGGGCCATTGTTGATTAGAATCCATGCTTTATGGTTCAAATTTTAGACACTCATTTGAGTGTGTGCTTAGTACCATTGCAACCGATTTCCTAAGGCATGAACACCTGTCTACCTGATTGGATTACCTTGATTATATTATTCCTTCTGTGATGCACCAAAGTATTGGTGTATTTTAGTTTTTAAATGCTCCCCCCTTCCTTCATGACATTTTAAGATAATACTATACAATTTTTATAAGTTAATGTTTTCTGATACCCTTTGAGAAAAAGCAGAATGCATTGTAGCAAGCACTTTATTCACTGTATGTTTAGTGTTTAAATATCATGCTTACCCTTCCTTAAATAAGTTTATTGATTTGTATTTGTGACAAACACACTCATATAGTACATTGGTTTAGATGATCTTTGATTCTGTCTTTAACATCTCGTGTTACTTGGATGACAAGCTCAAGACAAAGATGAAGCATGTGTGTCTACTTTGGGTTACCTTTACAGTTTATTGGTACAGCTATTAAAATAAATATCTGTGTGCCAGTAGATGGCAAAGCCAAAAAAGAAAAGAAAAAAATAAGTAAATAATAAATATTTGTGTATTTAGTGTAATTTTTTTTTTTTTTTTACATCTCATTACCTTTCTGTAACAGGAAGTCATCAATGCACTGAAACAAACTTGGCATGTTTCCTGTTTTGTGTGTGTGGCCTGTGGAAAACCCATTCGTAATAACGTTTTTCACTTGGAGGATGGTGAACCCTACTGCGAGACTGGTAAGATCATGAAGCCATTAGTTTCTTGAATTTTGAATGAAGGTAAAACATTAACCTTTATATTTCTATAAAGTTGAAAGAAAATAGTAGGCGAAGTAGTTTTCTTAATTACTTTGGGAGCATTTAATGTTGCTCTAAACATATAGGAAAAGAATCATTTAAACTTTTTATGTGACTTTGTCCAAACAGATATTTCCAACTTCATTATGAGAATTGAGAATGTAAACATTACTTAGTAGGAAAAATATTTTTCTTGAATCCCCAATAATTGATGGATATAAATTCTACCAAATCATGTAGCATAAAGCTACTTCTTACAGTCCAGTCATGAATTTTGAGTGTTTATAAACATCAGAAATGTTCAGCTTTAGAATATGATATTGACTGGCTTTTTAAGGCAATTGCTTTGAAAATAAACTTGAAATCCTTTGTTACTTTTACTGAATGGAAGGGTAATCCTGGCATTAGCCTTGGTAAAATGATTTTTAATAAATTAAACTATAAGGACCTATCTACTACATTTGTCTTTTGCCTGAACTCTGAACACTTCCTTTTCCTTCCCAAAGTCTGCTTTTCATACCATTTATTTATTAATATTGCCCTCACTTAGATATTACTACCCACATACACGTTTCAAACTATAAAAGACTTTTCCCTTATCATGCCCCCACTCACCACCACTGCATTCCATTATTGACTTTTATTGTTATTCTACCTTGAAATTTGAAGTGCATCGCTCAAAGAAGGGAATATTCCAGAATACTGAAGTTAGAGGAAGAGTCTGCTTCTAAGTTGAAGCTGTATTAACATCACTCAACCTTTCTTTGTCCATTCAATATTCGCCTATTTTCACCTCCTTTTGACTCCTTAATTAGGACCAACCTGGATCTATTCCAGACTGTCCACCAGAAACCCTAGAAATTCTAGTGTAATAACCCATGGGCAATTTGGGGACAGGTTGGCTACAAACTACCTACTCTGATTCAACCAGAATATTTCACATTTTGTAATTCCACTTAATTTTCCTAAAGAAAGAGCTGTTTGTTTTTTTGTTTTATTTGTTTGTGTTAGGAACTTTGCAAGACATTTTGCAAGTAGCAGATAGTCCCTATGTAACCAAAACACATATAAAACTCTGTAGTCTTCATATTGCATTTAATGTATTCAAAGAAGTCATAATTTAAAAACCCAAAGGGGAAATATTATTGAATATTTATTTAAGTGCCATTTTTAATCAACTTGGTCTATTTTTTTTTTTTTTTCTTTAACCCCTCAAACCAGTTCTTAACCCTGTCTTCATCATTTGAGGGGTTGCACTCGCCACTAGGGCCGGCTTAGCCAGTGTCGCCTCTGGATTCTAGCTGCACCGACCCCTCAGCTGCTCCTGAACATGCTAACATCCTGCCTCAGGCTTTTGTGCTTGTTATTTTTCATCAGTGGAATGTTCTTCCTCAGCCTTCTGTGGCCATTTTTCTTTCTCCTTCTAGTCTCATTATAACTATTACCTCGTTGGAGAGGCCTTTTCTAACCCTCCTAAATAATGTAGTGCCCCTTCCTAATTATTTTATATTACCATCTTCTTTCCTTCATAGCACTTATCCCAATCTGAACTTATTTACTTCCATCTATTAATATATTTTTTGAATTCCATAAATGATGACATCCTGTTTCCAGTGATAACATAAGCCCCAGGAGGAAGGCAACCTCATCTGTTGTCTTTGCCACTGTACCCCTACAATGCCTAAAACAAAAATATGACACACAGTAGACTCTGTGTGTATATGTTGGGCCAGTGCTAAGAAATGTTAAAGATTTAAGATTGCGAAGGAAGGCGAATCAAGTTGCATATTATGGCCTACTTCCCCTCTAGCCCAGACTGGATCAGCAATGTCAAAGGCCAGAGGGTGAACCATGAGTCAACACAGTAGTGACAGCTTTTATGCATACATAGTTGCATCAAAGAAAATAAAAATACTGATAAATTCTAATTTAGTAACAGAGAAACATCTTGTTGAAACTGCTTTCTTCAAAAAGAAATCCTATTAATATTATATTTGCAATTTGTGTCAGGTAAATGGTGTTTACTGGCTAAGAGTTTTCAACATGAAGTCATAAAATTGAAAAGAAAATATATCAAAAGAAATGTGGCTAATATTGTTGTGTTATAGTCTAGCAAGACATTCAGTCATGGCACTTATTCGGGAAATTTCCTGTTGACTTTTATTTTTCGTCCTCATCTAAGGCAGATACACTGTGAAATTTGCCAATATCAGACATTTGTTCTTGAATTATAGTCATTAGTCTTATTACTGCTAGTTATTGGAAGCCCTCTTGTATTTCTTTGAAGCAGTCATGTTTACTGACAACTGGTCAGAGAACAGTGTTCTGTACTCATATTAGTCAATTAAGTAGTTGGAAAGAAGTGAGAAGTATCACATGGAAAATTATAATGAAGAACGTTAAGGTGTGTAAATAATGTTTACCAAGAGAAACCCAAAATATGCCGAGCCAAATACTATGCCATCAACTGAAAATTTTCTAATTACGGCTCTCTTTTATCTTCAACATCTCATTTAATTCCAGTTTTGTTGTAGCTCTCCAGGAACTATCATTCTAAAATAAAACTTCATCATGTTTACATTATATCCCTACCGCCTGCCCCAATACAGATTATTATGCCCTCTTTGGTACCATATGCCGTGGATGTGAATTTCCTATAGAAGCTGGAGACATGTTTCTGGAAGCTCTGGGCTACACCTGGCATGACACTTGCTTTGTATGTTCAGTAAGTAAACTCTTATTTCCTAATTACAGGAGGACAGTCCAGCCAACTCTAGCCTGATTACTTAGTGGAAATATCAGCTCTTGTATCTTTCAGTCCTTCAGACCTAAAGAAAAAATATTTTTACAGTGAGTTTGAAAGTTGTTTATTAAATTTTTTGGCACTTTTGAAATTATTTGGCACACAATAAGATCCTGACCCTTAGAGAAAAAGACAATTTTGAATAAATTTTTATCTGTAAGGACGAGCTATGTATTTCTTAAAACAAGAAGAGTTCTTTACTTTAAAAAAATGTTATTAGAGTATTTTTAGTAGTTTTTAGAAATATTGGGTACTTCTTAAAATAGAAATAAACAATTATAAAAATCTGATACTAAATAATCTACATGTTGATCCATTTATTTCTTTAGCAAAAGCCAATAGGTATTCTTTTCTTTCTTTTTTTTTTTGTGACTATTATACAATAAACATGCAATAAACATTTACTTATTTCATATGATATTTAATAATTTTGTTTTTATTTTTAGTGATTAGAATAGATTCAAAGATTAATATTAAGATATATTTTTTGAATTTAAAAAGTAAATATCCAGTAAAGGTGTGCTGTGTTCAGATGTTTGATTTTTTAAAATTAGACTTAATATTATATATCCAATGGTTTTCAATACTCATTGTATGAAAGAGGAAAAAGTAATTTTAATTGAAGTCCAGTGATTTCCCCAGACATTGCCATTGAACCATTTCTTGTTTACCTCATCCATCTCTTAGACTTCATAAAGTCTATTAAAGCAACAACTTCTAGCAGATTTGCCTTTTCTTCTCTAATAGAGCTGCTCACGAGCATTATAATTAACAAAAGCAGTAGGAAAGGCAAGAAGGTATAATACTGGTAGTTAAGGGACTGTATGATCATACAGCAACCAGATATTGACCAGTGTTTTTACTATAAGAAACAAAGAAATAAATTAAAAAGAAGTCTTAAGTATTCTATGCCTGTGGATTTGGGGCAAACTAAAGTTGGGAATGGAAATGTTTGGCAAAGCAAATGAATTGTATTTTCCTTTTGAATGTTTTTGTTCTCTACAAGAAGAAACAAATTTAAAACATTATTTAGAATTTAGAGAAAGAAAGTATATTTAACATGACCTCTTTCCATATTGATTTTTTCATTAGGACTAATAGGTTAAGAAAAGTATGATCAGTGATTTCAATAAATTAGAAATACATTCTAGGAAAAAGTAATTCTTCATTACTTTTGAAAGATGACATGAAATGTCATAGTATTGTGAAACAGTATCTAACATCAACTGACTAAAGCTCTTTGTCATATTATTCAGTGGGGGAAAAATCACTTTCCCCTTCTCTGGCATACTTGATAAAATAATGACATTCTCTTAAATAAATGCTTCTTTTTCAGGTGTGTTGTGAGAGTTTGGAAGGTCAGACCTTTTTCTCCAAGAAGGACAAGCCACTTTGTAAGAAACATGCACATTCTGTGAATTTTTGAAAGTCAGCACTTCAGAAGAGAAGAAATTTGAAGAGAAGAAGGAGAATCAAAATTACCAATTAATTTTTAGATTTCATATTTATATGGAGTTTTGAAAAATAATAGTGGCCCTGAAGGAATAAATTCCAGCTTTAAAAACCAAGTTCTATGAGGAAATATTTGGCTTCATAAAGTAAAGAGACAGTTTGGCATTTATTATTACTTTTTCCTGTATTTTATGCCCATAAAATAACTTTTATAAAAACCAATTTCCTGGTTGCCTATTAACTTCACCTTAGAATAAATTAGTGAAGAATTAAGTTTTAGAATAAAAACTCCAGTCTTTATGCTGAAATAATTATGCTTTCTTTTCTTGTTAGGTAGCTATGAGTAAATCTGAAAAAGGCAATGAAAATGCCTTAAACTTTATCAATAAGAGAATCATTGTATTTTTTAAGAAAACTAATGCTTATTAATAGCAAATAGGAGTTTTAAACACAGAATTTTATCAGTAGTAGGTGTCAGTTTTTAAAAAACCATTCAAACTTTAGATTTGCCTTACAGTTGATCTTTCTTTAATTGTAGGGAAGGGCAATGATGTTTTTGATCAAACTGTATTGTGCCAATAGGAGAGGCTGTATTTTTTCCTCATATCTCCCCAAAAAGCTACGATAGAGCTTATCAATCTCAAACGTTTGCCTTTTATTAAAATGTGACTGTTTCTATTCATTGTCTTTCATCACCTATAGTAGTCAAAGTCCATTTTTTCCCCTTCCTTCCCTGAGATAAAAAGCTAATTAAATAACTTTGGGCTGTACCAGCTTTCTCTCTCTTTAAAGAGAATAAATAGAAAAGAATGTGGCTTGGAATTATGGTAAATCAGAAGATTATACCCAATTAAGAAAATTTTTTTTTTAATTCCCCACTTTTCAGATAATGAAACTGATGAAAATTTGAGAGCTCTGTTTGCTGACTAATTTTTTTGGTTTTTTTTTTTTTTTTTTGAAAATTCTACATTAGAAAATAAAATATTAACTTAGGGTTATGGTACAATCAAGGGTTTTTTTGGATTTGGTTTGGTTTGGTAGTTTTCTCTCAGTAAGAAGTGAACCACTTTCAAATGTGATCATGAAATTTGGAAAGCTCTTATTCACAGAGGTTTGGTGGTGTAGGAGGAGAGCTTGATTAATTGCTCAGATTGACCTGTTACTTGTTTTCCTTCTTTGGAGAAAGAATTATGTGGGTACCACATGAAGGCAGAGAAACAATTGTGGCAAAACTGTGGAGCTAGTTGATGTTTGCCCAGTGAGAAAACAGATTATACTATTACAGCATTTGATAGTATTTCTCTTTGTTTTTTCTTTGTTTCCAGAATAGATGAAAGCCCACGATCCCACACTAAATAATAATTTCAATTTGTTTGGGGCAAGGAGAGCCCCCAGTCCTTCCTGCCCCATCAGTCACTAATGCACGCCTTGGCTTCCATTGTGTGCGTGTTTGTTAAAGAGGAGGTTTTGGGCTCCAATATTTGTTTAACCTCCCTAAGAACTTTCAAGGCTTCTGTCCTGAAAGCTGTTAACTTATGGTCTAGCAGATTTATATTATATGCAGATAATAATTAACTGGGGATAAAAGAATGGCAAGGGGTGACACAAAGTGGCAAAGTGAATGCCTCTCCAGTGGCAACCCCTAAGGACCCTGGTCACCCTGCATCTGGCAGGGAGGATGGAAGTTTCTTTTGAAACCAAGTGCTGGAACTGAATTGTGCATTATTTCTCATCGCTGCTGCAACCACCTCTAAGAGACCTGCTGGCTTGTGGTGTGCATTGTCACATATCTGAACGTCAGTCTTTTGCGATATAGAATACAAAATAAGCTGGTGGTTTTGTTTTGGTGTGACAGAGATTTTTTTGTTTGTTTAATTTTGCCTTCATGGATGATATGCCAAGATAGTATTTGATAAGTCAATGGCATTTGGGTATTTTCTTCACAGAATTTTATTTGATCTGGGTTGTTTTTTTTTTATAGTTATCTTACATTAAAGATGTCATTTCTATTAGACTTTTCTTTCTCTATATTATTCATGGAGCATAATGTTGCACTTCTCCAAATTTTATCCCTAAAAGGGTGGTGTTGCTTCCTAATTTATCATTTTGTCTTCATGCTTTGTCCACCTCTTCAGTGGCAGAGTTTTATATCTGTTCCTAAAACAGTTAATCCTGTGAACTAAATATTGAACATAATCCAGAAGAGTCTCTGTATTTTCCAGTGGGGAATGCCATATTTAATACACCAGCAGTAATCTTTTAATGACTGGCAGAGCACTTTATTCTTCTGGTGAGCTCTCTGAATATTTATTTTTCTGATTATAAATATTCCATGTCAGTAGCGTTTTTTTATTATTATTTCTTCACTGTAGAACATATACTTTTAGTGTCTCTAGATGTACATTTTGTAATGCTGTACTTGGTATAACACAGATTAAAATTATAGTACATGACTCTCAAAACTCCCATACTTGGATTTCCCATTTTCCAGATTTTAGTGATGAAGTTCAGATTGATAGTATTTCTCTAGACTTACATGGACTGAATTTTGCCCGCTAAAGTAGCAACCTAAAAATTAGCCCCTCCATGTATGCTTATTATAGAGTCTGGCCCTCTGTATCCAAAGGTTTCACGTGTGTGATTCAACCAACTGCAGATCAAAAATATTCAGGGAAAAAAACTATGGGTTGCACCTTTGCTGAACATGTACACACTTTTTTTTTTCCTTGTTATTCCTTAAACAATATAATGTAACAACTATTTGCATAGCATTTATATTGTATTAAGCTGTATAAGTAATCTGCAGATGATTCAAGGTATTTGGTAGGATGTGAGTGGGTTATATGCAAGATACAACTATTTTATACACATGACTTGATCATTGTGGATTTTGGTATCTGAGAGGGTTCTAGAACCAATCCCCACAGGGAGACTGAGGGACCATTGTAGTAGCATACATTTTCCTATTAGGGTTACATGTAGAGTCTAAAACTAAAACCTAATCATTTGATCATGTATTAAAACAAATAGAAATAGTAGTTTAAATCTTCCAAGTATTAGTGTAGCATTATGTTTACAATAATCAACAACAATGTACCATTTTCAAGGGGGTATTAGGAGTGCTTTTATAGAAAATTATTGTCCCCTGTTTAAGTGTGACTCTAGTGTTACAGTCACATTTGTGTGGCATTTGGAGTTCAGTCATCCCTGTTGAAGCGCGGGAGGCTTTTCAGACATAAGGGAAGGGAAAACACACTGAATGGTTTTGATACAAATCAATTCTGGCTTCACTTTGTCCTATTCCCTCCTCGAATGTTTAAAGGTATTAGCTTTGGATTCTCAGTGTATAATTTGCCTTATCCATTCATCTCTATTTTTCTGTTTAAGTTTTTAAGTTTGTATATATCTGCTGTTTTGCTTTTGGAGACATTTTCTAATTAAAAGCCACATGAGAAATATAATCAGTATAGCAATATCTTAATGTACACACAATAAATAAATGACTGCATCGATGCAGACAAGCTCTCCTGGTCTTTCTTTTTGGGTGGTGATTTCCATTAAGTCATCATGGGGAAAAAAAAAACCATGTTCCATATTCACAGGATAGGATAAGGTGTAATAATTCTCAGAAGAATCCCTCTTTTATGATATCTGCCTATCAACGTGTCCCAGACATAAAACATTTGAAAATAGGGTCACATTTATTCTACTTTTATTTATCATACTTTTATGCTCTGCATGTAGAATGTACGCAATATGTACGAGTTAATAAGTTCTGTTGGTTTTGAACAAATAGTTATTGCTGAAATTATTTTTTGGAATAACCTTTCATATCAAGCATTTGTGATATCGCAGATCATAATCAAACAACATAAATCATCTACCTTTTCACATTTTGCGTTATCCAGGGTACGTTGCTTCATGCCTAACTCATCCCAATCTCGTCAGCTAACTATTTCAGAACCAGGTAAGCTCCCCTCGTCCTCATTTGTTTATTGGTTTCAGTTAAGACTTTTTCCCCCAACTGTACAAAGTTAAGACAAACGGTTCTGTTGGAGGCTGCATATTGGGAATAAAAGAGAAATTCAAGTCTATTTGCTCACAGTATATTAAACTCCAGAAGCCAAACTTTTAAGGGCATCAAGTCTGCATCTGACATTTTAATTGCCGCTGTTTGGTTTCTATCAATCACGTCATTGCACATTAAAATACACCGACAAAATAAGAGATCTGTCATTCCTTCGTTAAGAAACAGTAATCCAGTACAAGATTTATAGGCTTAAGTCTCAACTGTGTGTTCACAATAAATCCCCATTCACTGCTCCAACCAGAGCAAGCCTCCCTGTCGTTCAGTGTTTTCTAGTCAAAATGTCCCCCATATAAGATTATCAAAGGTTTTCTTACAGAACCACATATAAAATCCTTTTTTGCCAGCAAAAGCTTAATTTAGGTTGGCGGTTTCCCTTTTTGAGGACTCTCAGACAAGATCTTGGTTATATCAGAAACACATAGGCACTGATGTATTATTAGCAGGCCTGGTGTTAATTAGGGAGAATTACCAGAAATAGTTTGCTTCGTGGAAATTTATTACAGAATCACACTTGACTGATGGCAGAATAGGAGTTGCTGAGAGAGAGCAGCTCCCACTCATAACCACTAATTAATAGGGTGCCAGAATTCTGCAGAGAAAGTTCCATCCCGAGTGTGGGAGCCTCCCAGGGAAAATAGTTCCTTTGCAGTGTTTAAAATTTAACAGAGGAAAGGGGCCAGGACGCATGGCTACTTAACAGAAATCTCCCACTGATACGGTTTTATGTTGTACATATGGATGAGAAGATTTAACTCAGTAAGCACCAAGCCCGGCAGTTGCCTTTTAGCGTACAAAGGAGATACACACATCATTTTTCATGCGACAAGTGCCTGATTTGCCAAAGTGTTCATTCTGTGCAGAGAATGTAGAGCAAACCATTTGCGCGTGGTATTGTATTACTGAATTTCACTCTCGATGCTGGGATTTAGAAGCTGCCTGGGTAGGCGGCAAGATTGCATCAGTGATCGATAAGAAAGGTGTGGCCTCCACACCTTGAACACAGAGAGGTGGGGGAGGGAGGAAGAGATGCATTTAGTGATTGGCACAAATGGCAGAGCACTGGGAGAAAGAACCTTATTAAATGAAAGCTTGCCAAGTAGTTTTTTTTTTTTTTCCCCGTCTGGGAAT